CCGTCTAACAATGGACTAATGCTCAAGAAAAGTGTGTTTTTGTCAATTAATTGCTGTTCTTGGCTATCCATGCATCGCGCGCTGGTCCACGAAGCGCCATAAAAATGGTCGCATTGAATCCTTGTCCCATCATATCAGCCAGATTTGCGAGAACGCTGCCGTCCAAATGGCTGTAGTTCTGAATGAGGCAATCAATCGTTTGCGTCACTCTGTCGCGTGGGTCTTGCTGGTGTTTGCCTTGGATGCTAGGACGTCCACCAACTTCGAAATTGCATCGCCAATCACGGCACCAGCGCTTCGACGGTCCCTGTTTACCCTCTGCTTGAGATTCTTTGGTGGAGGAGATGCGTCGTTGGTGCTGCTGTCGGAGTTGTCGTAATCTTTGGACATGTCTACACGCGTTCGACGTCCTATGCCACCGGTCGCTTGTACCACGGCACTGTGTGAAGACGCTGTTTCATTGCCGCTGTTGTCACGTTGCTCGATGGAGCCCAGTGGCATCGAAGAAAATCGCCCGTCCAGGTACGCTCCGTCGAGCAGGATGGCCAATTTTTCGTAGAGCGGAAACGGTGTGAACCGAAATTTCTTGCATGATGGGCTTGCCTAGACATAGAAGGTCAGATGAGTCCCTGTTAAGTAAGTACCTTGAGAACAGCAGCCCAGACGTCATCTGGTGCAGTAGGCAGGCCCAGCTCTTCGTTCCACCCAAACCCAGAGTTGTCCCGTAAGTACTTGACGTCTTTGTATTCACGCTTGAGCTATACGTTGTTAGAAGTGCTTCAAGTCATATATCACGTACGCAGTCGAGTCGTGACTTCACCTTCAACGAGTGGTACGAGGTGCCAAAGCGCTCGTTGAATGCCGCTGTCACTTCGACCCACGCTTCCTTCTTGTATCCGGAGTCAGATCGCTTGCCTTTGGCTAACGTAAGAGACCAATTAATTGTGCACGGACCAATTGTTTGTGCTCCAAAACCAACCAATCCGAGAGCGTAAAAATGTCGCGGCAAATCCTCTATAATATCATACGGCACTTGTCAATTGGCGCCACGATGGCACGTCCACGGCTCCGGTACAAACGCAAGGACTTGGACGATGCCGTCCGTCGTGTGTTGGACGGTACTAGTGGGAAGCAAGTGTCAAGTGTCACACATATACCTTACAATACACTGATGATGCATGTTCGCGCTGAGAAGGCCGGAAAGGACCGCGCGCGACGGCGTCCTGGTCCGAAGACTGCGCTACCAAAGAGTTGCGAAGATGATCTTGTTTCCTGGATCGCGGCAATGCAACGTGATGGATACCCTCTC